GCCAATTGGCAAATACTAGAGCTAGATATTAATACTAACATCAAAATCATAGCCAGGCTGAAATACTTTTAAATGGCATTTAAATGAATTCATATTCCTTTTGGGCAGTTCTCTGAGGCATTTAAAACATGCTGTGACATACTGAATCAAACAGGGGCTAAGTGCGAACAAACTTCATTCCTAGAAATGCATTTCTCTATTTGCAAGTGTTTGCCTTTACTTTGGCACGATCACATGGGCTCCAGCTAGACTTTTGAGCTCTGGCAGTGATCCAAGCTGCAGATGGTTGGAAATGCAGCCTGAAATCAGTGTGTGGTTGATGAATTACTCCTTACACCTGACCCCTGCTTCACACCAGGCACCAAACACAATCTGAACACTACCAGCCAAAGAAGCCCTGTCAGGCATCTCCGTATCTGGAACGCTTTCTTCAAGGCCTTCTGTACGGCCAGATGGCCAAAAGTGGGGAATGCCGTAAACCCGCTAAACAGAAACGTGAGTGACTAAAGGGATTGGTAGGTAAAAGGTGAAGAGAGGCAAGAGCTTTGCACCGATTCCAAGTGCACACTTTCCAAAAGAGAGTGATGGAGCAGGGAGGAAGGTATGCTCATGCCACACAACTGAAGGAAGCCCCCAATTCCCTCATGCCAAAAGATGCCCTAAAAAATGTCAAAAAGGAGACATAACACAAACCCGCATGTGTGCCCACAAAGTCACCAAACCAAACTTAAACTCTTCTGAGTACACCTGTTTGAATTGCCTAATTGTTTTTTACTAAGCTGGGGCATGTATCTGTCATTTCAGAAGCAGGCTCATTAAGCCCTCTTGCTTGCAGGTGAGTCTGCATCCCTTTCACCGCCACAAAGATGGGGTTTTATTCAGGTGGGTGTTGGGAAATCACACTTCTTCCATTTGCACATGTTCACACATGCATCAAGCATACAGAGATGAAGAGGTACTGAGGGTACCGTAAACACTGCCTCTTGTTTTGGGGTGTTTCTGCCATCTGACAGGGTAGCAGAGACAACAGCATGAAAATTAAACTAGCAGACCCAAACCATGACTAATAAGTAGGAAATATCTGGAGAATGCATGAAAGCAAACCACACGGAAATAGCTGCTTAACTGGCATATTTTTACCCCAAGTGCAGGTATAGAGATCGTAAACCAAACAACTCCTGTCGACAGGTAACTGTGGCACCTCCTCCTTTCTACCCAAGTGATTCAAGTTTTTTCAGTAGACTGTTTGCAAAGAAAGCTGACCCCAGCAAGAGGTCTAATCATAAGCTGCAGAGGACAAAGATAAAACACAAAGACAAAACTACTAAATCAAGGAAACTCTTTCAAATATATTCAGAGTTAATATATTTTCCCCCTTTTTCATATTATAACATGAAACTTCACTGTGCTTCTTTTTGTTTTCTTCTCTGCTAAATGGCAAAGAGAAAAGAATTTGCTTTGGCAAGCAAGAAACAAAAGAAAGAAATTTAGATCATAATGCAAGATTTGGCATCCTTAACATTCTACGTGACAATTTGCAACGTACTGCTGCAAATCAGTTGTTTGAGTAGTTACACCATCAGCAAGGATGCAACTGAGGAATTTCTCCTAACATCTCAAAATAAAATAAAAACTACTACAGATTCTCATCAGATATACATGAGCTGAACCACCTCCCTGCAATATTTTTTGCAACAAGAACACAAGAGTATGCTTCACTTACAACAGTAACCAGAACCATTTACTCCAAAATAAACTCCTTGGATAATTGGACTCTCTCCCTACTCTCAGCATCTGCCTAAAGTTCCAAAACTGTACATTCAAACTGAAGTTGTCAGACAGCATCACACCAAAACCCAGTGCTTGTCCTTAAGAGACATATTAAATTCCTTGCAAGTGCCTTATAAGGATTGACACCCTCCCCTTCCTCTTTTTTTTGGATGACAATGGCTTTTCCTAAACCTGAAATTAAAGTTTTAGCTTCAGTGGTGGCATTTGATAATAAAGGAGCCCAAGTAAATGGAACTAGTGCATGCTTTATGTTCCACAAAAGGCCACAAAACACTAAAAAGTTAAAGCAATCAGACAAACATATGGAATCCATTTTTTCTATTTATAATCCCATTACCCATATAGCTATTCATTTACACCCTTTCTGCACAAGAACACGCTAGCCCCGTTAGAAGACACACGCACGGACTGTAGGCTGGAGTCCTGCGCAGCTCCGTGCTCCCCTGTGAGAGGGACGTGATGAACAGTAATGCGGTACTTCTCAAAGGAGAACCAAGGCAACTTCACCAAACAAGCAGAGCAAAAGCAGCACTTCACCCAAACACGCTGGGGAACATGAATTTCCAAACTTTGCCTGTTGAACACACTGCCACTCTGAATTTCAGAAGCTGTACAGAAATGCCAGAAGAAAACCTAGAATTTCTTTCCTAATTACAAGTGAATGTGCAAACCTCCCCCCTGCCCTGCATGCATGACTATGAGCATAAAAACACATTCTTACTGTAGAGCTGAGTCCTACAATGCTTGGTACAAAGAGCAGTTTTTGGAAAATAAGAAGCTGAAGTTCTCAGGCCGGCTGGAACCATACAAAGGTTTATTTATATGTGTTGCTCCAATAGGGATGATAAAAGATAACAGCTCTCCACCACAAGATTATTTGATTGCTCAACTATTAGCTTTAGACATACAATGGATCTAACTCCTTTAAAATGTCCCAGAAGCTGATGGCTAGCTTTAAGGTAACAAAATCCAGATGCTGCCTGTCTGCACTACTTTAAAGTCTTATTATGGTCTATAGAAGAGAAATACTTGCAACTGTATGTGTGTGTGTGCATATATATATATATATACACACACACATATGCGCACGTGTATGTGTGTTTATTATTTAGAGTTGATATACGCCCTTAACTGTGGGCCAAGGAAAATAAGAAAAAATAAAGGCATATAAAACGTGTCACCAATTTGAAATTTTACCTGTCCTTACTGTAATCGTGCCAGACTGATGCACATGACTTTTCACAGCGTTGATAATTTTATATACCAGCTATAAAAATGCATTTGAGTTATTTTTTAAAGCAAGGGGTTAAAAAAAAGTCATGGTACAGAAAAGCTACTTTTCTACTTTAAGCTCAAATACAAGGTTAATTTTTTCAAAAAGCTTATTTTAGAAAGTTAAAAAAAAAATTAAGAAAAAAGAAATAAAAATGACAACTGGCAAAACGTAAACTACGTGAGTAAAAGGGATGGAATGTCCAATATTTCTCCTCAAATACTCGAGGCTATTGTTCTTTCAAAAAAACACCATCAATTGTTTCATGTCCTTGGCTTGCCAGGTTTTGAGGAATAGCATCAGCCTGCGTCCCCAATCCCCCAAACAGTTAAAGCTATAGGCAATATTGCAGTCAAGCTAGTGACGGGCTGCTGCTGCAACAGCAACATTACACACTAAATGGTCACAAAGGTAAAACGCTATTTGAATTGACCTTGAAAGGAAGGGGGGAGAAATGATAAATTTCATGCCGAAATACAAAATTTAAAAAAGGATGAATTTTATACCAAAAAAATATCTGCATGATGCAGTGAAAGAAACAGCAGAGCAAAGAAGTGAGAGGTAACCCTGCCATGAATTACAGGGCTGTAATCACACTGAGTGCTTCTGGTGTCATCAGAACTCCAAACAGCCTGAATTGCAGTTTTTACAATTAGTTAATTTATATAATGCAGTAGTCGGGCTATAAATGTTAACGGGAAAGTAATTTTTATTAACAAGGAATATAACTTATCCTTTCGCAACTGCTGCCAGATCAACGTGCTTCAAACCAAAAGTCTGGAGAAGTCAGCCTCCCTTGTGGCACTTCACCACACACAGTTGCACACATCAAATGTCCCATGTGTTAAATTTGCCACAGGAGCGCAATGTGTATATGTGCACGCAGTACCATATGCACGTGTGCACGCCCTGCCTTGGCTTCTCCCTCCTAAAGGATGTTCGTTTATTTACTGAAACTGGTCATCTGTGGCTATGAGGTCACGCTTCACCTTGTGAAGTGTGTATTTTTTCCTTTTTCTTTCCTCCAAATACAGTGTCCTGACAGGGTTTGCAAACTTTCGGTTTAGAGCTTTCTTTTGTTACTGTCCTTTGGTCACACAGGAAATCTTTTCAGAGAGCAGGCTATTATACAATGGCATTATAAAAATAAGGCTTTAATTAACTAACTCATGGCCAGGTAGCACAGACTTCACTCAGCCTCTCTAAGAGAGGCCGGCCTGCTTTCCAGTCTGCTGGCATTTTAAAAATTATTAAGAAAAGAAAAAAGAAAACGGAAGCGTCCGCGCTTGGATACTCTCTCCAGAAGTAGTTACCCTCTATTGCTAGACCTTTAAAATGCAACAGAGTACAGCCATATCAGCCTCAGTAGTTAATGAAATATTAAAACCAGTGCAATGCACTGAAACAAACTCCACCAGATTTACAGACGGTTAGCTCTGAGCTCTCCCTCCGAGCTCCACAGCATCTCCTCCTCAGCTGATTAAAAGTTTGAGTCGCCACAGACAGCTTTTCTAACAGCAAAATGCTTTTAAGCTGCGGAAAAACTGTAGAGATCACTGGAAGACCCACCAAAAGTGTTTTATGTCCGATGCTGTCCAGAGCAATCTTTATCCCATGCCATAACAAACACACTACCTGCCCGCTGTTACGATAGCGTTAACCGCACTGTTCTCCCCAAACAATAAAAGGAATTAGCCGACGCCAGCAGCCCTTGGGAAAAAAAAATAAAAATTTAAAGAAATAAAGAAATAAATGGGAGGGCAGACAGTAACCTTCCTGCCTCTCTCACGCCTGCTCTCTGCCTACCAGCTTCGCTCTGTGTGACAGCAAACCAGAGAAAGAGACAGAAAAATCGCCAAAGCGAAGAGGCGAGCCCGCAATTGGCGCGGCTCCGCTCTCCATCCCCCGCCAGGCAGCCGGCCCCGCCAGCCCTTACCTTGGTTTGGAGATAGTGGGGGTAGTAGTAGGTGTACTGGGGGTACATTGGCTGCTGGTCCAGGCGTTTGCCCATGTAGCTGGAGTCCTTCTGGCTGGTGCGGGGAACTCGTTGGCAGGGTGTAGTGCCCCAGGGCCTTTCTTCCTCTCACGCCGCTACTCCTGACAGCGCGGGCGACAGAGGAGGCTGCCGAGACTTCCTCGCCGTCTACCGCGCGCTACTTCCAGCGCAGCCAAAAACGCTCCCGCACGAACATATACGTGTGTGTGTGTGTGTGTGAGAGAGAGAGAGAGAGAGAGAGAGTGTGTGTGAGTGTGTGTGCGCGAAGGGGTGTGTGCGGGTGTGGGTGCGTGGCTGGGTGGAAGCCCCGTGCCCGGGTG